TTTCATGCATTCACTCATTCATTCATTTATTCATTCTTTTATTCATCCACTTATTCATTCATTTAATCATTCATTTATTCATTCATTTATCTATTTATTTATCTATCTATTTATTACGCAACTCTTTTTTCTGAAATGTCTTAAGGCTATTAAGGATAACTCGTTTCTCGCAAAACACCCACATGAAAAGATAATTCATGGGATGGAAGAAACGTGGAGTTTCGCAGACAATATATGAAAAGAACGGTTACTCGACAGAATGGTTTCTTTCAGTAACGTGTTTTCCGTGTTATCTCCCTTTGCCCAAATTTTCTTGACATCTCGTGTTGATGATAATTACAATGGTGACAATAATGAAATTCATGACAATGATGATGATTATGATGATGATAATAATGATGATAATAGTGATTATGTAACAATAATGCACGTAATGGTGGTGAAGATGGTGCTGCTGCAACAACAATAACAATAACAACAACAACTACTACTACTACTACTACTACTACTACTACTAGTACTAATGATGATTTTAAACGAAGGTGGAAGATGATGATGATGATGATGATGAGGAGGAGGAGGAGGAGGAGGAGGAGGAACAGCAGCAGCTGGGATAAAATATATTTTATGAGAACGATCGGGGGAAGCAAAGTTGTTATTCGAAGACCGTGTCGGACTTGGCGGGAATCCATGACAAAAAATTAACAGATCTGGATCAACTTACTTGACTACATAATAATATATTCATTTCTTGTAAATTTTTCAAAACTTTATTCTTTTTTTTTTAAATAATTTATCAGGCTATACAAAAAGATGGTAGCCTCACAGACTCCTTTGTAAACTACCTCACCGACTCTCGTTGACTGGGCTTTGAAGCGTAAGTCTCCAGTTCGAGCATGTGTCTGAACACTTGCCGCTGTGTGTTTTGTTTTATTTAAGGCCAATGCACAAAAACGTAACGTCCGTCATTAACAACCAATTTTTTTTTTTAAGGAACTGTTTGATGTTTTTAAATTTGTAAATCCGGTTCACTGTGAACTAGATCAAGGGGGGAAAAAACTGTCCCGAATCTCCTTGACCGTCCAGACCAATGTTTAAAAAACAGGCACATGGCCGGTCTAAACCTTTCTTTTTTTAAAATATGGAAACAATACAATTTATAAGCAAACGGAGAGGGGAAGGAAGAGTGGCCAAAACTATGACAGAGCAAAAAAGAAAAGGAAAACCATACGCACTTATAATAATTCAAGTATGAGAATCTAACTAAAAGCGTAAGGACGAATATTATATATAATATTTACCGATACAAATGTCTCATGACATCAGATTTCTGGGACAGAAAAACTCAACATAGACGCCATCTTGTTCTACTGACTCTCTCTCGGTAGACGCCATTTTTTTCTGTCTGTCTGGGTAGACGCCGTATTATTTTTCTGTCTCGGCGTATTTAACCAGTACTCTAGAGCCGGTCTAAGGGCGAAGTGTGTATGCACCAACTATACAGCCGAGTCTGACGATTCCTGATCAGGATCTTGGACCTGAGACGGATGTTTCACTTAACGTCACGGACCTACATGTGTTGTAGTTTAGGTGATAAATTAAGGAGAAACAAAGAAAACCAGCTAAGACGTAGTTTGTCGTATCTGTCGTGAGACAAAACCCTGGATTCGAGTAAAAAATTATAATGTGTTTTGCTGAAAAGTTAGCGTTGAAGTGTGTGTATAAAATCACGATGTTGAGGATAAAATTTTAGGCGTTCCACAGAAAAAAATAACGAAGTATACGCTAAAATAATAACCAACGACGTGCTATTCGTCAACGGTTTTTCAGTCTGTGAGAAACAGCAACAAGCTATAGAGACGCCCTGTCTGTTGTACGATAGCGCCAAAAATCACAGCACATTTACATTACTACTTAGTCTTTCTAGAATGGTTGTCGATGCCTGTTATGTAATGGCGCCAAAAGTCACCGCACATTAAATACTTAGTCTTCGAGGGGCAAACAATAATTGTCGATGTCTGTTGTATGAAGTCACTGCACATTTACATTACTAAGCCTCTACACATTTACAATGCATGGTCTTCTAGTGGCAAACCAAGACCGTCAATGTCAGTGTAAGTCTATCTCATACCTGGAACTTGACGTTTCAAAAGGCGGACATCTATTAGTCTATGTTGGAGCCAAAAGTCACTGCACATTTACAATACTTAAGTCTTCCAGTGGCAAACCAAAGACCGTCGAAGTCAGTCTGGTACTTCAGACCTGATACTTGGAAGTAAAAAGACGAACAGTTCTTGGTCTGTAAAGGCAAAGTCTGAGCCAGGCAAAGTCTGAGCCAAAGAAGAGCCACGTCCGCCAGCCGATGCATGCCGGGGGAGACACTTGACAGAGTGGTCGTCCAGTCTAGGTCTAGGAAGTCACGCCACCCGTCCTCCCTCGGTGGCGATCCCATCGATTGAACCGGAAGAGACGCAACCACCACCACCACTGCTGCAGCAGTCTCACCACCACTTCCTTTTCCGGTTCTGCATGACTCGCTGCTTGTCTCGTCTGTTGTGCTGTTGTGGTGTTGTGCTGTTGTGCTGTTGTGCTGTGCTGGGTATGATCGCTGCGGTAGCCGTCGGAGTGAGGGTGCGCACAAAGAACGTAAGGCTTATGTCATCCCCCGACAACGTCAAAGTAGACAACTAACCACCACCACCCTCTCGTTCTACTTCACGGGCTTCTGGGTATTTATTATTTTTCTTTCTCTTTCTCCCCC